ATGCGAATGGTAGAAAATGTGACAATCTTCTTCGACATCCAGCTGATTCTCCATAATGAAAGAGGATTGATGAAATATTTTCAGAATTTGGTGCAGAGTTAATAAACTAGAGAATTGGATTAACTACAAATGGAATGAATTCTTATGGGAATTTAAGTAGTAAACATAATTCATGGTTAGTTTTGTTGATCATTTATAATTTGCCTCCTTGGTTATGCATGAAGAGAAATTATATTGTGTTGTCTATGATGATTTCAGGACCTCGACAACTATGAAATGATATAGATGTATATCTTAATCCTTTGATAATTATAATCATGCACATGGGATTACACTCGTGGTGTGGTTTTGTTCATTGCACCAAAAGCCAAGTCAAGAAATGAAAAGCCTATTACAAAAATGTAAATTTATCTTTTTTCATTAATTATGTTTTTAAAGTGTAAATATATATTGAATAATATCTAACTTTATTTCAATTAGAATTGTGTCTGGAACTAATGTTTTAGGTGGAAAACCCATAAAAAAGAATTTGCATTTCATTTATTCTAAGATTAGAAACTTATTTATATAAATAAACACCATAATTATTGTTTTTATTTAAATTTTGAAAAAAAAACATTATGTTTTGTTTCTCATTTTAGTGTAATAAGCCAAAAATCCTTTGAATGTGGTTATTATATCATGTATTGGATGAGAGTTATAGTTTGTACAGGTATAACTGATTTTTAGATTGAGGTAATTACTTTCATCATTTGTTAAGTTGATTTAACTTTACGCATATTACATGTTAACAGGAGTCAAATTAATGTTTCAAGTATTTCAATATCCATCCTCACTACCTGAACATAATATTACACAAATTAGAGAACAATGAGTAAGATTTTTTGTTCAACAATTATAGTACTTAGTTTGTAGATTATTGTTTATATTATATTATATTGTATTATGTAGTTTAGAATTTAGGTAGTTTAGTTTTTGTACTAATTTAGTATATAGTTTAACTTTTATAGTTTATATTATATCGTATTGTTATATTTTTTAATTACTATCTCAAGAAACTTGAACCTCTAGACTGTTGCCATTAAAATATGTTTGTAGGTTTTGGTTGTAAGACAAAACTAACTCAATATTAAAAAAAATGACAAAATTTACATCGGACTAGACTTTAACAGACTTAAATTTATGCCGGACTTAGCCTCAGCCGACGTAAATTTATGTCCATTGGAAATTAGATCAACATAAATTTACATCGGATCTAGCCACATTCGATGTAAATTTATGTATATTGTAACATGGTTCAACGTAAATTTCGTCCCATTTTTTAATTTTTGAAATCCTTTTTCGTCTGTTTCATGTTTTATCTGACGTAAATGGACATTGGTCCTTGATACAACTGGCGTAAATTTACGTTGGTCATTGTAGTCAACAAAAAATTACATCTTCTATATTAATGTCAAACATATATCTAACGTAAAAAGACAAAAATAACATATGTAAAAGTTTCATTTTACACTAGTGGTGGCAAACACAGTGGTGAGCACGACATAGGAATTTAAATAGGGTGACAGTTTTGTAGCACGGTGGTGGTGAACAGTGCTCCCAAATGGTGATCCTAACGGTGTTGAGTGTGACACGTTGTTGGATGCTTAACTACAATAAATGGAGCACAAAAATGGTGGTGACACGGTGGCAAACGATGGTGACATGGAGGTGAACCATGGTGTAACGAGTTGTTGGCAAACGTGGTCACACAATGCAGCGAGGATTACGTTGCAATAAGTTACAACATTAGCGGAAATGAAGTGAGTGAGGAAAGGGTTGAAATTTTTTTTAGAAAAAAAAAATGTAGAATCTCTTCCCATATTTTTGAAAATACCACCATATTTTATATTACATAAGTTTTAATACAATCATAGTCATACCTTGTTATAAAGTGTTGTGTGAGCATGATAATTTGTTTTTACAATAAATATATATATATATATATATATATATATATATATATAAATTTAAAAAAGATAAAAAATTTGGGATGATCTTGAAATCCCATGTCACTCCCTAGTTTTACTTCTAGTCACATATTCAAAAATATAAAAACATTAAAAAAAAAAGAAAAATCATAAATTCATATCTTCTTAATAAAAGTAATAAATAAGAAGTCAAATTTCATAAACTCATAATTTAATATGACCAAATGATGAATACATATAAAATAAAATACCATGAAAAGATCAAAATACTATTGATAATACGTAGCTAAAAAACAACATTTAGCATCAATTATATAAAATATATGATATTAATTTTTGAATAGTCATTAAAAGAAACGTCATTCAGAGAATCAATATTGGTTATAAAAAAAAAAATCAATGTTAAATATGAGTATTTTCAACATCTTTTTTTATAATCGACGTAAAAAGTTGATTTTTTTTTAAATACTTATTGTTTTGTGATATTTTCCACTATAAATAAAATGTAGTAAAAAAACAAATATAAAAATTGTTAAACAAATATAAAATAGTCCTAAATAATTATAAAATAATTTCAAACAATACATAATTTTTAATTTTAATAATTCACAAATAAATATTTAAATAACAATTGTAACAATCATACGACAACATAAGGGATGATAATAAGATAGAAGATGAAATTACAACAAAGCATGAGTATCCTTAAGAGAGGACGAGAGAGGGTGAGTACATGAAGGAGAGCGAGGATGTGTGGATTCGATGAATGACGTGACAAAGGGTGAGAGAATATAATGAAGAACGTTGTAGAGGATGCGATAGAAGCCACAAAGACACAATGAAAGATGCAATGGAGGTCATAAGGATGTGACGAAGGGTGTGCGGACATGACAAAGACCATGAGGATATGATGGAGGTTGTGAAAATATGATCTCAGGCATGAAGGAGGCCTAACAAAGGGTGCGATAAATAAGGCAAAAGACGCGATGATGTAACGAAGGTTGAGATGGAGATGCGGTGGAGGGCAACATGGAAATGTGGTAAAGGGCGTGGTGGAGGTTGAAGGTGCGATGGAGGACAAGTACGAAGAAGAAGAAGAAAGATTTTTCCGTATAAGAAAAAAATGTTTAGCTTTTTAAATATAGGAAGAAGAATCATTTAGTAAAAGGGAGTGAGAGTTTTATAAATCTTTCTATGTTAGTTTTAATTCTATTATAATCAATTTAAAATGTCATATTCAATATCGGTTCATCCAATAATCAATATTAAATATAATTTTTTACATTGATTACAATAAAATTTATGTTGAACATAACTTTTAACATTAATTATAATAAAATCGATATAAAAAAATTATCCTAAATTAAAAATTTATCACCATTTATTTTTCTAAATCAATTTATTTATAACTTATGTTAAATTAAATGGTTAAAAACTATTTTTATTGAAGGGATATAATTAAAAATAAGTATACATTAAAAAAAAAAAGCTTTGGTCTCCCATTATTAATAACCGAAAACTTTCTCAAATCACAGTGAAAAAAAAAATTTCCCAATTTGTTTTCTTTTCATCAAATTTGACAATACAAAACAAATTGTCTTGATTTTGAATAGGTCAACGGATACTTGTTCTCTATTTTTTTTTTCACTTATGGATTTGTTTCAATAGGAGAAAAAGATATTTATATTTTTCATATATTACAATAATAACCATAGAACTTATATAAAAGTAAAAATAATTTAAAATACACAAAAGTCTATGAAAAAAATAACTAATTCTATTGCATAACATATTTAATTAAGTTTTCTCTTAACAATACATAGAAAATAAAAGAAATAACAAACATTATATTAGTGTTCAAAAATAAGTTTAATACAGATATAAATATTAATTGCAGTTTGTAATTTATGTATTGTTTTTTAAGTAAAAAAAATAAACATAAACTTAAATGACTATTTTTTTTATGACTAGGTCCACGATTTTTTATCACCTAACTTTGTCTTGTTTCACTATTTCAAAAACATAATTTGTCGTCACTAAAATGATAATGGTTGAAAAAAAACATAATTTGTCGTCACTAAAATGATAATGGTTGAAATAAAAATAAATATGATATTATGTTGATTTTTATTAAAACTGATATAATATGTCTTCATACTTAATTTTCTTGGGAGATTTTTTTAAAATATACACGCAAAAATGTTATAAGATATTATAGAATTAATTAAAAAATATATAAAATAAGTGAAAATTTAAATGATAAATAAAAATAATGAAAATGGATAAAAATAAAATTAAAAATATTATTAAAAATAATTTAATATTAAATTTAATAAATAGTAACAAAAAAAATTACAAGTTAATTTAATTACTTTATTTTAACAATTTTACAGATAAAAAATGCATATAATAAATTTTTATTTTACAAATTCTACAAACCATTTGATATGATACATTCTACTTTATCTCTTCTAGAAAATGACAAGTTTACCCCATTATTTTAAAAATTGAATTAGATAGACTAGACTAATTGGAACTGATATAAAAATTGATATATTATTTTTAAATAATTAAATTTTAATGATTAAAATTTTGGATCAAATTAAAATTAATAAAAAAAATTTAAATAAAAATTTAAATATAATTTTTTATAAAAAATATAATATTTTTTATATTTTTTTATTTTATATTAATTACATCAATTTTAAATAATAATTATTTTATTATATTTTTATTTTATTTTAATAATTATTCATTTTATAATTTTTTTAATATATTTTATACCTAAAATCTTTAACATAATTTACAAAACTTATAAAATTAATTTTTATTATTTTTTTCTTTAATAAAAAATTATTATTAATAAAAAATTTATTTTATATTTATTATATTAATTAAGAATTTTCCAACAAAATTTCATCTATAACTATAATAATAATATAATATTAATAAAACTTTTATATTTTATTATTATATTATTACATATTTAAATGTAGCTTAGATGTACGGATGACTATTAGTTGCGTATAAATGACGGCTTATCTCTTTAAGCTAAAATTTGTCATAAAGAGGAGATCCGGACAGGAGGGAAAGCGGCATAGAGCAGGAGGAGGAGAGGAAAACAGCGGAGGCATACCAGGTATATTTCTTCTTCCTTTGCTTTTCTTCATTCATTCTTTTAGATTCCTTTAAACTCCCATTCGTATCATTTATTGTTTTTAATAGGAAAATTTTCTGTTAACACCCAAATTACTCCCCCCAATATCTCTTCTTCACCCACTAAAATCTTCTTTACTCTCCTTCTCTTTGCGGACTCCTTTGCCGGCAAGAGCGTCGCACTCGTGCAGGGAAGCACCATCCGCGCGCTCGAGACGGCGGGCGCTCTGAAACCGGAGATCGGCGCTGCCTTCGAAGCCCTAGGTCAGGCTGAAAACTCAACTTTTCCGAGGACTTGAGCTCAAATTTTCAATAACTTTTTACCTGTTAACTCAATGATATCATTTGTTTGATATCCTTATAAAATACTTTTCACTAATCACGATAAAAGTTTTTTCATACTCAACTGAGTATGCTACGGATGACGACGGCTTACGGTGTAAATTTGTCTCATAATTACTAATTTAGTTTAAATTTTTGTAAAAAGGCAAGTGTTAGGTGATACTTTTACACACTTTGATATACACAAATCTTGCTATTTAGCACATTTTTGTTATCAATTAAATTTTTTTAATAAAAATTGAATTATCACTCTTTCGTAGAGGTTATTTGATAGGAATAAGATAAAAATAGATGCACATATAATTAAAATAAAAAAATATCAATAATAAATAAAAAAATAATTTTATTAATAAAAGGTATTATAATTTTTTTATTTTTAAAGAGAAAATAATAATATTTTTTAAAATAAAAGAAAAATAATTATAAGAAAATCTTAAATTTTTTTTTAATTTATCTCTCAAGTACTAAAATAAATAAAAAAAGTAATTTTAAACATTAAAACAAGATTTGTTTGATATGAGATTTCTCTTATTATCATCTCTCATCTCTCATGTGAAGATTTTGATTAAATTAATCAAATTTTCACACCATATTTATTTTATTTTTGTCATTCATTTTTTTTTACTAAATTAGAGTAGGATCGATGCTATATAAACTTGTCAATATTAACTAGTTTTGTCATAACATCTGTTAGGTTTTTATTCGTGTGAATCTTTTGCATATCTATAATTCTTTCTTTCATTACTTTTCGAATAAAATGATATTTTATTCTTATATGTTTTATCCTAGAATGAAAAATTGAATTTCTTGCAATGTGCAAGACACTCTGACTGACATAATACACAATAATTTGTTGTTATTTATGTCTGAGTTTCTCCGTTATCTTCCTAATACAAATAGTTTCCTTACATGTTTAGGTGATTGTCATGTACTCAACTTATGTGGTAAATAGATCTACAATATCCTGTAACTTGAATAATTAACTTACTGACCCCTCTTGCAACTGTAAACACATAACTAGTAGTAGATCTTCTTTTATCCATATCACTTGCAAAATTTGAATCAACATAGTCTCTGACAACTAGTTTTGATTCTCCATAATATAATGTAACACCTGAGGTTCCTTTGATATATCTAAGGATCCTCTTTATAACATTACAATGTTTTCCACGAGGATTTTCCATGAATATATTAACTACTCCCTCTGCTTGTGCAATGTTTAGTTTTATACAAATCATGACATACATAAGACTTTCCACCGTTGATGCATATAATACTTGAAACATTTTTATTCTCTCCGCTTCATTGTTGAGACTCATACTTGAGGATAACTTACAATTGATAGGAAGTGGGGTGGAAATTAACTTGCATGTTTAAGCGTCGCAAAATTTTCAGTAAGTAATTCTTCTGAGATAACCAAACCTTCCTATCTTTTTTGTCTCTGTGAATTTACATCTCTAAAATCTTGTTTGCTGGTCTCAAGTCCTGCATGTCAAACTCCCTAGTTAATAATGTCTTCAACTCTTGGATTCGATCTATGTTGGAGCTATTACCAACATGTTTTCCACATACAAAAAGATAACAAAATCATTATCATCAAACTTATTGTAATATGTATAATGGTCTGAGCTCAGTTTATTGTAATTAATGTAAATAATGAAGGAATCAAATCTCTTGTATCAACATCTGGGAGTCTATTTTAGACTGTATAGAGATTTGATCAACTTGCAAACTAAGTTCTTTTTTTCTTTAAAGTCTTCTAGTTGGAGCATATAAATTTCCTCTTCAAGATCTTCACGAAGAAAAATAGTCTTTACATTCAATTGTTCAATATGTGAATCAAATGTAGCACACATAGACAGGACAACTCTGATGAACGACAATCTGACATTAGAATATCTCATTAAAATGAATACCTTTTTTCTGAGCATATTCATTTACCACTAATCTAACACGATATCTTTCTACTTAATCATTGTCATATTTTTTTAATCTTATAGACCCATTTGCAACCAATGACTTTAAAACCTTTTGGAAGTTTCACAAGATTCCGTATCTTGTTTTTATGAAGAACCTTCTTTTTTTTCTACATTGCAGTTATCCATAGAGAAACATTTGAACAACTCATAAGTCTCTTGAAAAGTTAAAAGTTCTCCTTCTTCATTTAAAAAATAATACGCATCAAAACTTGCTATCACATATTATGAATATCAAGATGGTCTGACTTTTTCTCGTGTTGATCACCAGATATCTTCATTACCAACCTCATTTGACTCTTAATTCTCGTGTTGATCACCAGATATCTTCATTATCAATCTCATTTGACTCTTAATTTTTGTGCTCCTTTTCTGACTCAAACGAGTTATCCGAAGACTTTTTCTCTATTTGTACTATAATCTTATCTTTTATCAAATTGTCATTTGCCTGCTCACTTTACAATTTATTTTCTGCCAAAACTACATCTCTGCTAACGACAACCTTGTGGGAAGTGAGATTCCACAGACGGTATTCCTTCACATTGTCAACATAGCCCAAGAAGATACATTTCCTGAATTTTGGATCTAATTTTGTTCTTTCTTAAAAGTTATACATCACGTACACATGACAACCAAAAACACGTAAGGATGAATAATTAGCTAGTTTTTCTTTCCATATCTCCATTGGTGTGCTCAAACCAATGTGGTTGATGGTGATCGATTTATAACATAACAGACAATTTTTACTGCTTTTGCCTAAAAAGACTTGGCTATTTCAACTGTTCGCAACATAGTTCTAGTTCTTTTGAGGAGAATTCTATTCAACTTGATGACACTCGAATTGAAGGGAAACAATTTAGGGTTAGGTTTTAAGAGTTGATTTGATTGGAAATAGAAAACAGAAAAAATAAAGAATATTTGATAAGCAAAGAAGGATCACCACAAGAATCGAATAATTCTTGATAAGATCAAGTGATGGAAGGAAGAACCCTAGCACAACAACAACTCACAAAGTAATTCTGAATATTACGTACGTTCATTCTGAATTTTCAAATGTTTAATACAACTTATGAGTTTGTCTCATTTCAGAAAATAAAGATAAATTAAAATCCTAATATCCCAGGCAAAGTTAAGTTGCCCAGATGGTTCAGTGAATGCATTATAAATTTTGGGTCTTGGGTTCAAATCCTCACTATAGCAAATAAAATAATAATAATAATAAAAACTAAATCTTTTAGTTGAGCCTCCTAACTCTCCAAACATTCTATGCATGTGATAGGTCTAGACTCTTCCATGTTTGGATCTTTTAATAGTTGGGCCTTTAGCAAATTGGTCACTTTGTATTGTAATGCCTTTTGTGTTTTTTTGAGTCTGCCTCTTGTCATAGGTCCACCTAAGTTTTGGATTGGATCTTGGTCTTGATCCTTCTCGTTATGGGTTTGGGTCTTTATGTTCACATCACAACTGCTCCGCTATACCATTCTGTTTAGGTGTATGTGGGACAAAAAATTGTCTGTGATACCCTCTTGCTTGCAAAAATGGTAAAAATTCTCCATCTACATATTCTCTTCGTTATCTATCCTCAAACACTTAATTTTTTTTTTTCAGTTTCAAGTTCTATTTGTGCTTTGAATTCCTTGAACTGTGAAAACACATTTGACTTCTTCTTGATAGGGTACACCCACAATCTTCAGGAGTAATCATCAATGAATGATACAAAATATTTTGCTCCTCCGAGAGATAGTACCGGTGATTCTCACACATTAAAATGGATCAAATCCAATATGTGTTTATTTTTAGTAGTCACTTTAACAAACTTTAATCTATGTTACTTGCTTATCACATAGTATTCACAGAAGAGTAAACTAACTTCCTTAAGCCCGGGTAAGAGATTACGTTCTGCAAGAATTTTTAGACCACTTTCTAATATATGACCAAGTCTATTATGCCACATGATGACTGTACTTTTCTGACTTGTTGTCGTAATTGATACATCTGTTTCTTGCAACGTATCTCCAAGTAGCACATGCAAATTTTTCATGATCTTCCTTGCCTTCATGACCACCAAACTCCCCTTCACCACCTTTAATATTACATCCGAGATCATCTAATTGCCCAATGAACAATAGATTATTCTTCAAGTCCTTGAATTGTGACGTACCCCGATTAATGAGGTATGTTGTTGTGCTCACTTTTTCTGCCTAGAATTTCGGTAATCCTACATGAATAATTATACTTTTTGCCCTCTCATTCAGGGTCTTGATCATTCTTTCAACAATACCATTCTATTGAGGTGTTTCAGGAATAGTTTTAAGTATTCTAATTCAATTCTCAGCACAGTAATCAACAAATTCAGTATTACTATATTCACCACCATTATCAGACTTTAAACATTTAATTTTTAACCTTGTCTCATTTTCAATAATGACTTTTCACTTCTTAAAGGTATTAAATACTTTTGATTTTTGTTTCAAAAAATAAACTCATACCTTTCTAGTGGAATAATCAATGAAGGTGACATAATATCGTGATCCTCCTATGATGAGACTGATGTTGGTTCATACACATTTGTATGAATAAGTTCTAACTTATCTACCTTGGACATCCTCCCTGACCTTGCAAAAGTAACTCTTTTTTTCCTCCTAAACACACATGGTTCACAGAAACCAACTTTTACCTTTTTCAGTTCTAAAATCTTCCCCTTTGAGACGAGTATCTTCATACCCTCTCGCTCATGTGACCAAGTTTATGGTACCACAAAGTCGAAGAATGACCAACATCATCACTAATTGTATTTACTTCTATTGTAAGTAATTCAGTCATGTATAGGGTTCCTTTCTTCCAACCACGAGCAACAATTAGATTACCATTCACCACCTTCCATTGACCTTCTCTGAATATGACTTGACATCCTTGAACATCCAACATACCCACACAGATTAACATTCTCTTTAAGTCCTGGAATATATCTGACATCCTTCAGAGTTCATATTATACCCGTATATATTTTAAAATTTATATCTCTTATGCCTTCGATGTCTAAAGTTTCATCATCTGCTAGACGCACTTTACCAAAATTTTCACTTCTAAAATTTTTCATCAAGTCCTTGTAAGGAGAAACATGGAAAGATGCACTAAAATCTATGATTCAGGATTCAAACTTGCTCTAAACACACAATAAATCAACGTATCATCACTATTTTTTTTCTATTACATTCATCGTATTATTATACCTATTTTCTTTAGGAGCAGTATACTGGTTCCTTAAGTGTCCGTTCTGCTGACAATTCCAACAAGTAATATTCTTGCGAGATTTGGACTGTCTTTACTCCTTGGACTTTGATCTACCACGTCCAGAGTCTTCTTCTTTTTCAAGCTTTCTACCTCTACCTTCGATGATTAATAAGGAATTTGTTGATTTTTCAGCGTTTCTTCTACGGATATCCTCATTAAGGATTAAATCCCTAATTCCTTCAAAAGGTTAATTTCATAGTATCGTATGTACTGGCTACTACCGTGATAGTTCTTAATCAACTATCAGACAACGAAGATAGCAATAATAATGTTTATACTTCATCATCAAACTTAATATCCACTGACACTAATATTGACAATAAGAAATTAAATTCATTTACATGATCTGTAACACTAGCACATGCATATTCGTATTAACTAATTGACGAATAAAAATACCTAGTTTAATATTTATGGTTTTTCGTATATGTTTGATAATATTTTTATCAAATCATATGTCGTCTTCTCGTTGATGATGTTGTAAACAACATTCTTCGTCAATGTTAATCTGATGACGCTTAAAGTCTATCGATCTAGCAACTCCCAATCTGTCTAAGACATCGTTTCTGGTTTATTTTTAGATAAAGACTGTTACAATTTTTTTTAATAAAAATAATCTTCAATCTACATCTTTCAAAATCCAAAATCACTTTGATCCAATTTGTCAATTTTTATTTTCCTAGCTTCTACTATTGTTCTCACTCCAAAAAAAAAAACCTAATAATTTTCATTCACACAATTAAATTTTAAAAATTATATGAATATTTATAATAAAAAATAAGTAAAATATCATAACCAATAATTCTTCTTAATTCATATTCTTAACATTCAAATATTTGATTTTTACATCATGGAAAGTAGACCTCAGACGTACCACTTCGGCTTTCCAGCTTCTCGACATTCATATTATAAAAAAATAAAATTAGAGTAAAATCATAACTTTCATTAACAAAATTAAATAATTGAAGACCCGGTACCACGATTTAATTATATCAAAATCGTATCACCTAACAACCGACTTACTTATTTCCATAATTTTCCAAAAATTGGCACTAGATTGATAATTGACACACAAAATTACACCAAATTGATAAATAGCCTGAATGACCAGGGACTATCAAGAAATTATAATGAATGAAAGAAAAGTAAATAAGTCAATTATATATGAAGAGCATATAGAATTAGAATGATTTAGAAATAAAAAAATATTTTATTATAGAATGGTTTAGAAATAAAATTAACATTTTATTATAAATTTTATATGAGTTGTTTAAAATAAAATAAAAAATTTATATAGTTTTTTTTATCAATTTCTAAATAATTCATGACATTTATAAAAAATATTTATTTTTATTTTTAAACAAGGATTACAAATTCTCATTAAAGATATTATGATACACATCTTTAAGATATTAAATAGAAAAATTATTTTTTCACGATCCAATTCAATCATACACCACTTTAAAATATAAAAGGTAAGAAAAGAAAAATAAAGAATTATTATTATATTGATAAGGTGATTTTTGAACGATGCATTGAAACGATGAATTGTTGATATATGATAGCTCTCTTAGATATTCTAATAAGAATAATGGTATTTTCAAACAGAAAAATATATTTTTTAGACAATTTTTTTTATAATAATAATAAGTGTTGTAGCTTGAATTTTTGTTTGCCTAACTCCTCCGTGGTTTTCGTTTCAGAAGCACTGAAAAAACATGGCTCACGACTACAATGGGAGCAGTTTGATAGAGCGGTGCCAAGTTGCTCCACCACCGCCACCCTCCCTTCCCTCAACCACCCTTCCCCTCACATTTTTCGACATTCCATGGTTTTGTTGTGGCGTCCCTGTTCAACGTATCTTCTTCTACGACTTTCCCCACCCTACTCACCACTTCCTCCAAACAGCACTTCCCATTCTCAAACACTCTCTTTCCCTCTCTCTCCAACACTTCTTCCTCTTTACCTCCAACCTCATCGTTCCACCACAATCCCATCTCTCTTATTTCCGTTACCTTCATGGTGATTCTCTCTCCTTCACCGTTGCCGAGTCCACCGCAGACTTCACCCTCCTCACATCCCATTCACCCCAAGACGTTAAAAACTGGCACTCTCTCGTTCCCACGTTGCCTCCACCACGTGTTGAGCAAGATGGCACTCGTGTGATCCCTCTCATGGCCATTCAAGTCACAATTTTCCCAAACTCTGGCTTCGCAATATGCCTCACCTTCAACCACGTTGTTGGGGATGGCAAATCACTTCACCATTTCGTCAAGTATTGGGCCTCAGTTTGCAAGGCAAGTGGGGACTTGGTTTCCCTTGAAACCTTGCCTCTTCCTTCACATGAGAGGGACAAAGTTATAGACCCAAAGGGAATTAAACTCCTCCACATTCGTGAGGTTGGAATTCTTGACTCAAAATGCATGGACTTTTCGGGGCTCGTGCGAGATGTTTCCACTGACAAGGTTCGCTTCACTGTTGTACTGAATCGTGACCGAGTTGAGAAACTGAAGACGTGGGTTTCTCTAAGATGTGCAGGCTACACTTCAGAGACATTGCACATATCAACTTTTGTGGTGACTTGCTCCTTAATTTGGGTTTGTATGATTAGATCAGAGGAGCGCAAAGTCAACGATGTTGCACAAGACTTGGATGAACTGTGCTACTTGGCGTTTCTAGCAGATTGTCGTGATAGTCCCGAATTTTCGTTGCCTTCATCATACTTTGGGAATTGTCTAGCCTCTTGTCTTGTGGCAATCAAGAGGAGTAAGGTTGTGGGAGAAAATGGGATAGTTGAGGTAGCCAAAGCTATTGAAAAGAGAGTGAGGGATTTGAAGAGTGATTTGTCAGAGGCTGAGAAACTGATGTCAGATTTTAGAGAGTTATGGAAACTGCGAAAATCTTTAGTGGTAATTGCGGGATCACCGAAGCTCACCGTGTATGAAACTGATTTCGGATGGGGTAAGCCTAAGAAATCTGATGCAGTACATATTGATGGATCAAAAATGATTTCTCTTTCTGATTGTAGAGATAAAGAAGGTGGAATTGATGCTGGGTTGGCACTTGAGAAGATTCAAATGAATAATTTCACCAACATCTTAGAAGAACAACTCAATATTATAGCTACTGAATGAATCAGTTACTATATCATATGTAATTTTTGGATTCTGCTAAAATGATCTTTGTTTTATTTTTCTCATCCAGGGTCCTAATTTTTTGACACCTAATAGTCACTTTCTCCCTTTTACCACGTATTTAAACACCACCTACAATATATCTACTACAAAATTTTTTATATAGGGTTCAAAGATGCGATTCTGTTTCATCTTGGTGTATTGTGAGCAAAGTTTATCATTGGAATACGTTTGTTTTCTCAAAATTTAAAATCATTTAAATTTTATAATTAAAATGTCTATTTTAGTTTTTTCAAAATATCTTATTAGAATGAATAGTTTATATATATAACACTTTTTGGAATATAAATTTATAATATTTATTTTTTTCTTTCTAAAACATATTTATATATTAAAATTAAATTAAAATAAATTATAATTTAAAATATTATAATTAAATATTTTAATATAAGATAAAATTTTAATTTATTTAATATAATATATTAATTAATAAACAAATTTATTTAAAAATTATTCATATAACTAAAAAATATATTTTTTAAAAATAATTTATATATATATTAACTCTTATGACGGAATAGATTATTATAATCTGTATCAGGTTTTTAATAGGTAAAGAATGAAACGGACAAAAGTAGGAGGAGTAAACTCCTGATAAACTAATATTAAAGTAGTATTATATATATATATATATATATATATATATATATATATATATATATATATATGATAAAAAATAATAAAATGAGTATATCACGATCATGTGTATCTTCGACTGTATTCCAGAGGTGTTAAAATAAAAAAAATGATTAAAATTAAAAAAAATTACTTATACAAAAATATCTCTTTTAATACTAAGAATTTAAGTGTGAGTTTGAAGTCTCACATTAGATAATACTAATATGAAAGTTGAGTAATTTATAAGTAAAAAAATTTATAACTAAATATCTTAAAATTTTGAGTTAAAATGTGAAAATTAATTAATTTATATGTGAAATAATTTATAATCATATGTCTTAAAATTTTGAGTTAATAATAATATCATATTTTCTTATATAGTTCACTAATTAACTGTTTATGAAAATATCTATTGTTTGTCTCTTTTTCTTAAAAATATCTAATAATAAATATATTCAGTATTTGAAATTGTGAATAAAATTGAATAATTTATAAATATAATTAAAATTTTAAATTAAAGATAATATATATATTTTTTATTATTCTCTTATACGATATGTTACTACAAATAAAAATTATTTAAAAATAAATATTTTATTATCAATTTTATATCTAATTTATTTAAAATTATAAGAATTGTTTACACAACCTACCCTACCAGTAGGCTCTCGTTCGACGATGTCCTTGGAAAAAGAAGTAAGTTAGATACATAATAATATAAAAATATAAAAGTAATTATTGGATGGATGTGTCTGCTTTCAAAATATCGTCACTCTGTTAGCTAACGGTAGAAAGATTTGATAGTTTCTTCCAAACTGGTGAGGATTTTTGTGAGGCTTGCAGCGTTTCGTTTCACAGAAGACCACAAAAAATGGCTCATGAACGACAGCATGATTCAGTGAAGATCATAGAGCGGTATCAAGTTGCACCGCCACCAAATTTACTTCCCTCAACCACCCTTCCTCTCACTTTCTTCGACATTCCATGGTTCTACTGCCACCCCATCCAACGCATCTTCTTCTATGAGTTTCCCCACCCCACTCACCACTTCCTCGAAACACCACTTCCCACTCTCAAACACTCTCTTTCCCTCTCTCTCCAACACTTCTTCCCCTTTGTCTCCAATCTCATCGTTCCACCGCAACCCCGTCTCTCTCACATCCGTTACCTTCCTGGTGACACTCTCTCCTTCACTGTTGCAGAGTCCACCGCAGATTTCACCCTCCTCACCTCCGATTCACCCCAAGACGTTGAAAACTGGCACCCTCTTGTTCCCACCTTACCTTCCCCACGGGTTGAGCAAGATGGCATACGTGTGTTTCCTCTCATGGCCATTAAAGTCACGGTTTTCCCAAACTCTGGCTTCAGCATATGTCTTACCTTCAACCACCTTGCTGGGGATGGCAAATCACTTCATCATTTCGTCAAGTTTTGGGCTTCTCTTTGCAAGGCAAGAGGGGACTTCGCTTCCCTTGAAACCTCTTTGCCTCTTCCTTCACACGAGAGGGACAAAGTTTTAGACCCAAAGGGGCTTAAGCTCATTTACTTTCAAGAACTTGAACATGGTGACTCGCAAAGAATGGAGTTTTCTGGGCTCGTGCGAGACCTTTCCACTAACAAGGTTCGCTTCACTGTTGTACTCACTCGTCAACAAGTTGAGAAACTAAAGAAGTGGGTCACTCTTAAATGTGCCAGCTACGATTCAGGGCTATTACACATATCAAGCTTTGTGGTGACATGCTCTTTGATTTGGATTTGTATGATTAGATCAGAGGAGAGCAAAAGCAATTGTTTATCACAAGAGTGTGATGAACTTTGCCACTTGGTGTTTCTAGCAGATTGTCGTGATCATCCTGAATTTTCATTACCTTCAACGTACTTTGGGAATTGTCTAACCTCTTATATTGTGACAATAAAGAGGAGGGAGCTAGTGGGAGAAAGTGGTATTGTTGTTGCAGCAGAGGCCATTGAAAGGCAAATTAGAGATTTGAAGAGAGATCCTTTGAGAAATGCTGAAACATTGATGTCAGATTTTAGGGAGTTAGGGAAACCAGGTAAATCTGTGTTGACCGTTGCGGGTTCACCAAAACTGGGCGTGTACCAGACTGATTTCGGTTGGGGAAAGCCTAAGAAATGTGAAGCAGTACATATTGAATCGTCAGGATCGATTTCTCTTTCTGATTGTAGGGACGAAAAAGGAGGAATTGAGGTTGGATTGGCACTGGAAAGGACTCAGATGAATAAAAAGTTCACCAACATCTTAGAAGAGGAACTTCGTGTTATTAATAAATTCTAAGTGAACCTTAATCTGTATTCTTCGTTTTTTTGCGTGTTAGTGTATCTGTGAGTAAACCTTCGATTTTGGAGTGATGAGTGAGTGTAGTAGTGTTTGCAGTGTTCACGGTATGTTCTTGATGTAATAGGTCTACGTTCGTAACTTATAAGAGAATAAGTTCAGTACTATTATCTGGATCACTGGTTGTTCTTTTAGACTGATTAATATTATAAAAGAATAATGTGACTTTTGTACATAAAATTACTTTCTAATACTGAAGTTGGATAGTGTTAGTGAGAAATTGATAAATGGATCGAAAAACGAAGGGAAGCGAAAATCGAGAATCATTTTGATTGATTAAAAAACTGATAAATCGAAGGATAGTTGGAAAAAACGTTCAACGACTATGTAACAATATAATCGAAAATTAGAATCGAGAATCGAAGGAAGAATGTTTAATATCCATTAGTGAATGAAATCGAGAAATCAGAATTAGGTAATGTTAAGGTTAAGGGGAATTAAAGGCAAGTCAACGTGGCAAGTCAACGTTCTTGAGATTCCGAAATCAACATCGAGGGAAAGGTTAACCCATGTATCGAAATCCTGGCTAAGTTATAAAGAGAGGAACAGTTGACGTGCACATCGAACATGGTAAGCGGTGGCAAAGGTCGAAGGTCAAGGGAGCAGTTACCTCATGCATGGAACGTGAATGCAGTTTTTAAACCGTAGAGCTAGAAGTAAAACTGCAAAAAGACGTGCACGCAGAACGTGATAGCAGTTTTCGTTAACTGCTCCTAAGAGGTTACTTGCTTGAAGGATGCCTTATAAACAGAGCGAAAGATGAAGGAATAAGGTGGAAATTGGCAGAGAGAACAGAAATACTAGTGAGAAGTCTACCGGAGAACGACGAACATCATGAAGTTTCTGGCGATCTGGATTTCTATGTTCATTGATTTCCTTTACCGCTTTCTTTATTTTCCTTGGTAATTTACTTTGATGCAGTTTATGTTTAGTGACTTTAAGTTTCTGTATTTTCGATTCCTTGTCATTTCCCTTTAATGAAAGTTAAGTTTTTGCGTTTAAGTTCCTTGTCATTTATATTAACGCAATTTCGATTTCCTGCGGTTTACATTTCTGAAATTTCGATTCTTTGTCGTTTACACTTAATGCAAGTTTCAGGTTTCCGCATTTTACATTTCTTTGCAAAGTTAATATTCTGCACTGCTTTTCGATTCAACACTTTACTGCTTTCTTTATTTTCGATATCTCCTAGTAGAAAAATACAAAAGAGTACTTTCTGCATACCATATTCCGTTAGTAGCATTTTCTCGATATTTGTAGTGCTTTCGATTCTCATACGCATTTCGATTGAAAATTAATTGCTAGCCTAAATAAAAAGAATCTGCATGGTTGGAATTTGATTAGAATCAAAGTCTCTTAAAAATCGAAATCGATCAAATTTCCACCAGAAACAAATTGGCGCGCCAGGTAGGGGGGCATTTGTGTCGAAAACACAAAATTGGTTAGTTCGAAAGTGTATGAGATTAAGGAGTGGGCGAGTGATAAGAATGAGTCAGAATCCACCAAATAACCAGAGTAACAGTGAGGGTCTAAATGGTTCACATCCACCAAATATTGGGGGGCAAGGTCATAATGGGAATATGCCTGTGACATCGACAATTGCGAGTATGTCGATACCTGTGAGTAATGAACAAAGTTCAGGCACATTAGCAAACACTCAAGTAGGATCTAGTACTGTGATAGGGAACCCCATAACAACATATGCAGGGCCGTATATGAGCGTAAGGCCACCTGGTTTTTCGCCTAATAATATGAATGGGGCTGGTACCTCTTCAATACAACGAAACTCGAGATTTAACCTAGGAATGCCTCAGAACTTAGGTACATTTCAAACTCTAGGTATGCCGCAAAATTTTGGAGTATCTCCAAATTTAGGGGCGTCTCAAAATTTAGTAACCCCCCAGAATTCAGGGAGTGGACAGAATTTAAGTACACAACAGACACCTCCAAATCTAGATCATAGAGAAAATCTGGATCAGGGGAGATATGCATTCGATAGGAATTATCATCGATCCAATTTTGAGACTATCGAAAACACTGGTACTGGGATCTCCAGTAACTCATTAGGAGTACTTAGACAACAAATGGATGAGAGCAATTTTGAGATGGTGAATATGTTATCACAATAGTTGACTACAGTCCTAAATCCATTAGTTCAAAACACTACTGCTAGTTTTGAGATATTAGCAGACCAAATGTCACGTATAGGGGATGCATTGGCTATACCTCGACAAACAAGAGTGGAAAATCATGCCAATCAGAACATTTACCAGAATGCTAATATCAATCCCTCGTATTTATTAAGGAGAAATCGAAACAATGATCAATATCAACATATGGGGAATGAATATCAACATGTGAGGAATGATATTTATGGGAATCTGAATGAGGGATTTCAAAATATGTACAATCAAAATAATATACAGTATAATCACATGTTAGGACAAAGGATGAATTCCCAAGGAATGGAATTAAGACCACCCAATCAAATATACTTTGTTTCTCCTTTTCCAAATGCAATTCTCGAGACAGAATTACCTCGAGGATACAAAGTACCTAAATTCACCAAATTTGCTGGGGAAATTGGTGAATCCACTATCAAGCATGTGGCTCGATATCAGATCGAATGTGGGGATCTAACGATGAGTGAAGAATTAAAAATGAAATATTTCCCTAGTTCATTGACTAAAAATGCTTTCACTTGATTTACGTCGTTGCCACCCAATTCGATATATAATTGGTTGCAACTGGAAAGGAATTTTCATGAGCAATTCTTTAGAGGAGAGACTCAGGTAAGTCTCATAGATTTAATGAACATAAAGAGATACAATCATGAAAGCATAGATGATTATTTGAATAGATTTAGACAAATGAAGTCCAGATGTTTCACTCAAATTCCTGAATATGAATTAGTCAAAATGACCTCTGCAGGCTTAGAATTCTCGCTTAGGAAGAAACTAGTTAATTTACCATTGAATGACATGGCTCAACTAGCTGATAAAGTGAGAAGAGTGGAACAAATCGAATATGAAAAGCAAAGATATAAGAAATTTGAGAAACCTATGAAGAAGGAAAGAGTAGCATATATAAATGATGTATATGAGGAAGATTCCGAGACAGAAACAAATATTAAAGAATCTGTCGATGAGAAAGTAAATATAGCAGAGCTCAAAGTAGGAACTCCATACATCTGTAAATTGCTACAGAAAAATGAAGTAAAAGACAAAATGGCAAACCGAACATATACTTTCGATGTAACGAAGGCAGATAAAATCTTCAATATCCTATTAAAAGATAAACAGATTAAGTTGAGTGATGATCATAAACTGCCTTCTGCAGAACAGAGGAATGGTTGGAAATATTGCAAATTTCATAATATTTATGGACATTGGACTAACAATTGTATACATTTCAGGAACACAATTCAAGATGCGATCGACCAAGGAAGACTGAAGTTTGGAGAAATGTCTATGAAAGTGGACACGAGTCCGTTTGAGGTTCAAGTAGGCTATATTGAATCCCAAACGGGCATGACTGAAGATGTCCGATTGACAAATTCGACCTTTGTAGGCATGGTTGATGTTACTGAAGACATCGACCCCAGGCATGTCAGAATGGACGTGTCTGAAGAAGACATGGAATTCGACCTAAGTGAGTTCGAGAAAGAATTCGAGAAAGAGATCTATCCTCAATCAGGAGATTCTCTCATCGAATTTTTAAACAGGAAGAAAGAAAAGAATGAAGATGTATCTCTATGTCCACGATGCAGTGCGGTGTTCGACAAATCAGCCGCTAAAGCCTTCAGAGCGGAACAGATAAAGAAAATCGAGAATCAAAATAAAAGGGACAATGACAAAGTAGATCAAGCAGCACAAGCAACGATTGGAGAAAGTCAACAGAAATTGATTGGCTCTGGTGCTAGTAGAAATCACAGACAGTGGGTTAGGAGAGAAATGTATCCTTCTCGAGGAGGAAGGAACAGACTTCAAAGTAATGATGTCTTCGAAAGACTTTCATATGATGAAGGATCGAACACTAGATTCCCAACATTCCAAAGGAGATTCCGAGGAAGGCCCTGGAGAAGAGGAGGAAGGATCCCTTACTGGAATAATTATAGGAACTTTGAAGAGAGCAATGTACCAATAGGGAGCCAATATGCAAGAGACTTTTTCGATGAGAAAAATGAAGGTAGCTGGGATGAACATCAAATCGGAGTGATATCGATACTACCCGCAGAGTATGTTAGTGAGTATAAAGAGTACCAAGAACAAAGTGATGCCGATCAAGAGGATGATTTCTATTCCGAAAACATAAGGCCAAAAGTGACATGGGTAACACAAGCATCATGCGAAGTACCCCATATAGATGCTGCGTTTATTGATCCTCCATCTGAGGAGATGAGATTCCATTTGAAGCCTTTATTACTGAATATCGAGATTCAAGGACAAATGGTGAATAGAGTCCTTGTCGATGGTGGTGCAGCGGTAAACATATTACCAATCACTATGCTGAAGAGGTTTGGAATTGAATTAAAAGATTTAGTTAGGCACAATATCATGATTTTCGATTTCAGCGGAAAAACATCGAGCTCAGAAGGCATGATTGCCTTAGATGTGAAAGTAGGCACTTATTCGAGGCCTACTGTGTTTGTTGTTGTCCAATCACATGTCAATTTCAACGCACTCCTTGGTAGGGAGTGGATTCACGGAGTCGGGGCCGTACCTTCTACGGCTCATCAAAAATTATTTATGTGGAATCGAGATGGACATCTCGAAGTGATTCTAGGCGACCAGCATGAGTTCATAACATTTGTATCCTAGGCTGGTCGAGTATTGCAGAATTTGGCACTTGCCCAACCATTCACCTTCGAAACTGTCGAAGACTTTAACTCAAAGTTGCACGAGGAACGTTTCTTAGAAATGAACGAGAGGAAAGGATTT